TTTGCCGAGACAGTCAAACTTTGAGCATTTTGGAAGAGATGGAAGATGGAAATGTAACCCAGTAAACCATTATTGCCTTCAATGTATACTTTGCAGTATTCACGTACTAACCGGATCATGAAATTGATTAAAACTATAAAGCCATATGAGATCTCAGACTTACAGAATATTTCAGGACTTGTTCATCAGCTTTGAGCGTGACTTCCACCGTTGTAAATATCTCCAATACCTGCTTGGTTTCGTTGGGATGTTCCTCGGTTTTCTTCCAGATCATTGTCAGTGACGGTTTATGCATACTCTTATCATAGGTGTGTGCCTTCAAAGGCAGTGCCTGGGGTGAACAGTAAGAAACCAAAATTTAGGAAAAAATATTTTAAAAACATGGCAAACTTCATTTAAGGCAGTTTGAGCCCATTTCAAAATCTGCATTACTGAATTACTCAAGTTACTGCACATGTATGCAATGTATTATGATAATATACAATGGGAGGTTATTTCCCATATTATTTAAATAAAATAATTTTTTTGAAATGTTTATATTTTGGACTCTTGTATCTCGAAAAAATGTCTGGTGACCCCAATCTTTCTTCAATTTCTGTATTTTAATTACATGAGCCTATAATAATAAAAATATTATCACAAACTTTATTGGCAAAATATGATGAACATAACACATGTATGTGTTCTGACTGTTTTGTTACAGTTTGGAAAACACTCACATTACAATAGACCCTTTTGATGACACCAAACTTGAGAATCAATACATCAACAGACTGGTCCAAGACGGCCATCACCATCCCTTTCTCATCTATAGGACCACATTCCTAGGAAAGCAAATAAAGACTAGTTTCACTCCTGGCTACAAACTTGAATCTTTTATACATCGAGCGAGATCAATCAGCATGATCGGGATTCAAATCCGATCCAATCCAAGATGATCAATACATTTTTAAGCTGTTACAACTATTTGTGTTTTCTGTTTGGTCTTGGCTCATGTTTTATTATAGGTTTAACATTGGAATAAAAATGAACGTCAATCTAAAAAGTATATCAAAAACGAAATTAACCAGAAAATATCTAGAACAAAATTTGTCAAAAAATATCTAGACTGAAAATTTGTCAGAAAATATCTAGCCTGAAAATTAGTCAGAAAATATCTAGAACAAAAAGAATAGTGAATACAATTTTTCTATGTTTTTAGGGGTGTACAATGATGGGTTTGCAGTGGACAGGCAGGATTTTGCATGTGAAATATATTCTACCACCCATATGTATTGGCAAACAGTACACTATATATGTGTGTGTGTGTGTGCAATATAATGACCAATCTTTTCAAAAAATAAAACTGTATAGATATTAAAATCTGAAGCACCAAATAGTATATATTGATCCATAATGTAAGTGAATGTACAATAAACAAAATTAGACCCAGTCTTACCTTAATAAAGACAGAAAAGAACAGCTCTCCGCTGAGTTCTTGTACTCGTTTAGATGCAGTCTTTCTATCATTGCAGCGTTCTGATTGCTTTTGTATTTCCGTTTTGTCACTCTTCACTTCGGGTCCACAATCTGAATATTTGGATAAAAATGTGTTATTTCCATGTTATTTCAAGTATGACACCTACTCACATCCCCACTGATTTTAAATCAATTAAGTTTTTCTTTTGTTATCAAGATTCCATGTCTGTATCACTGTTGTATTGTTAGTACTGTATAATCTGTATTAGAAACCGCTACTTCTATTAAAATGGTACAATATGCAACAGAGGGGATGTGGCTTCTATCTACTACACATACAAGAAATGATGAATTTTTGGTTTTCAATTACAGATTTTATGGTACTTATAGACTGTCGACAGTTCTCAGGCCTACTGAGAAGTCACTTATTTTCAAACGCCATAGATGTGTTAACGAAGGCTTTTCAAGCGAGGACCGTAAGGCCCAAGAGACTGCTATTGCAAGTAAACGCCCTCATGCAGCATTACATGGAAATTTCCCGGTTCCTGTTGAGACTTGTCACTCAAACTACTAACTAACTTCCTGTTTATTGGTG